TCTCAACCTTCTGAATTTCTAAATAATCGGAATTATCCTTTCTAACTCATTTATTACCTGTCTTTTTATTTTATTAAAATTACTTGCAACAGAATAATGATATACAAGTAAATAGTTCATTTAAACAATGATTTTTTTTTTTTTTTTTTTTGTAAAATTGCATATTTTGATAAGTCGGATCTCTTGATAAGTCGGACACCGTGTCCAGCCATTTGTGTCCGACTTATCGAGTTTACCTATGTATATTGAACATACCAAACTTTAATTAAAAACTTTCTAGTTATGACTAAACAAAAATATTATGAATTAAAAAAAGGTATTAACGTAGATTGTTTCATACTAGTAACAAGATTTAAGAAAAATTTTTTTTTTTTGAATGCTTGCAATTATCTGATTAAACTCAGCTATATTTAAATTAGTATTTTCATTAATATATTGTAATATTTCTTCGCGATTTTGTAAAGCTGTTTGTGTGAAATAGGCACGATGAATGATTGTATTTCTGCTTCTTCAGGTTCTTCATTATTTCCTCTAAAGTAGTGATTTAGTTCGTTATCTATGTCAGTATATACTCGCTCCAAAACAGAATTTGTACTAATATTGTATTTTTCACTTAATTTTACATTAGTATTAGATATACTGTACATAATTGTTTTTTTTCAAGCCTGTTAAAGTTTTTCTTTGAATTTTCCATTTGAAACTTTAATTGTGGATTGATAATTAATAAAAAAATTTTAATGATTATACTGTATATGATGTATTCAAAAAATTCGTTTAATCTTATATAGTGAGTTTATTATATAATATGAGCAAAATTAATTATTATTATATGCAAATTCAGTTCAACAAAAAATCACCATCTAACATAAAAGTTGTTTTATTAAACACTTGTATCATTCGAGAATGACTTGTACTATGATTATGGCTAGAATCGTAGAATTGGAACAAAGAAAAGATTCATCTAAATTGAAATCACATAGATACATTTTATTAAAGCAAGGTTAATACATAAAAGTATGAGAATAATTAACTTGATGGTTTTTATCTTGATAAATTTATACTCCACTACCAATTTCATCTTTCCTTTTAAATTTTATATGACTTTCAGATTCTCCATTAATTTTTCAAGTTTATCTAAATCCCTTTTCAAGACTTTGCTCATTCCACCAAGCTGCGCATCAACATCAAATAATTTACTCCTATAATTGTTCAAAAATTTGATAATTTCATCCAATCCTTCAGCTGATTTTTCTAATAAAATTAACATTTATCAGCATTTTCTAATTTGATTTCGCATTTCAACATCAATTGAGACTAATTTGAATCTTTATATCAGGATATTTATTAACAAATTCCTTGGCTTTTGTTCTGCCAGACTTAACTTTCTTTCAGCTCTATCACAAAATTTTTCCACACCAACTATTGCCTTTCTTGCACTTGTTACTTTTAGCTTTAAAATTATCCACTGCTTCAATCATCTCTTGAATCCTTGTTTTAAAAAATGACTGATTTATCCAGTGTCTAGAATACCATGTCATCCATTCTATACATATCCTCAAGCGCTATTCTCACATCCATTATTTTATTACTAAATTCATGTAATAGTTTAGCAATATCATGTATTCTCCTAAGTTTAATTTTATTTGTATATATATTTCTCTTCAATTTTAAAACAATTATAAAAAACTACAAAGTGAACATAAAATTATATATATAGGGATAAGTGTATATGAAAA